GGCCAGGGCCATGCTGGTGAGGCTGAGAGGCAGACCCAGCTCAGGGTGGCTACTGCCCCCTCCACCTCAGCACACAGATGCTGCCCCCACCCCTCCACAGAACATTTTGAGAAAGGAACTCAGGCAAACAAGTCAGTGCAGAGTCCTTTATTTGGATTAAACAGACAGAGAGCACAGCTCCTTGTTTACACAAATTCTTTGGGACACACAAGGCAGGCAGATACTTATGTAGAAGTAGGATGAAGAATAAGGAGAGGGTTTGTGGACAGCATTGATACAACCAAGAAAAGCTAAAACCAAAGAAACCAAATGAAACAACCTCCCAAACCTACAGGCTGTGCCAGTAATGAGTTGCATTACTAGTGATATGCAGGGGAAGATGGGCAGTTCATTGCTGCTTCTGCAAAGAAAACAGTCATCAGTTTCCTCAGGGCATCCTTGAGCTCCTGGTTCCTCATGCTGTAGATGAGGGGGTTCACTGCTGGAGGCACCACTGAGTACAGAACTGCCAGCAGAAGGTTCAGGGATGGGGAGGAAATGGAGGGGGGCTTCAGGTAGGCAAACACGCCAGTGCTGCCAAACAGGGAGACCATGACCAGGTGAGGGAAGCAGGTGGAAAAGGCTTTGTGGCGTCCCTGCTCCGAGGGGATCCTCAGCACGGCCCTGAAGATCCACCCGTAGGATAGCACAATGAACACAAAACAAACAAAAGAAAAAATTACAATAACCACAAGCAACCCAGCCTCTCTGAGGTAGTCATCTGAGCAGGAGAGCTTGAGGATCTGGGGGATTTCACAGAAGAACTGGTCCACAGTATTGCCTCGGCAGAGGGGCAGTGAAAATGTATTGGCCGTGTGCAGCACAGCGTAGAGAAACCCACAGCCCCAGGCAGCTGCTGCCATGTGGACACAAGCTCTGCTGCCCAGGAGGGTCCCGTAGTGCAGGGGTTTGCAGATGGCAACATAGTGGTCGTAGGCCATGACTGTGAGAAGATAAAACTCTGCTGAAATCAAGAAGACAAATAGAAATCACTGGGTAACACATCCCATATAGGAGATGTCCCTGGTATGCCAAAGGCAATTGGCCATGGCTTTGGGGAGAGTGGTGGAGAGAAAGCCCAGGTCGACGATGGAGAGGTTGAGGAGGAAGAAGTACATGGGTGTGTGGAGGTGGCGGTCACAGGCTATGGTGGTCATTATAAGTCCGTTGCCCAGGAGGGCAGCCAGGTAAATGCCAAGGAAGAGCCCAAAGGTCAAGAGCTGGAGCTCCCGTGTGTCTGAGAATGCCAGGAGGAGGAACTGGGTTATGGAGCTGCCATTGGACATTATTTCACTGCAGGAATGGTGAACTGTTGAAAGACGAGAGGACATTGACAAGTGAGGACAGATTTCTCTGAGCCAGTCATATGCCATTTCTCACTGATAATCGTCACAATGGCTACATTTTTTTTTGGAAGAACTTCAGTCAGTTCCTTTTTGTGAGGTCAGGATTGATGAGCAGGGGCTCTGCCCATGGGCTCCAGAGAAGTCAGACCTGTGCTATTGCAGTGCGGTCAAACAGCCCGTGCATTCAGTAGGTGTTCCTGGCAATGGATGCCTTCAGTCTAGTGAGTGGTATTTGCCTCAGTGACCATGTGACAATTCTCCCAATTTATTCCAGTGTCATGGAGTCAGCATCCAGACCAGTGGTGTCTGAGAGGGAAGAGCCCAGGGAGGGACCCAGCCCTTCCAACTCTGCTCTCCTGAACAGCAAAGTCTGGGTCAGAATCACTCACGGCTGACACAGAACCTTTGTCCCCCCCATTTTCCATCTCCAGGCTCTCTCCAGACATGATAACAGCAGCGTGCGTGTGGGGGAGAATGGGGCTGTCAGTAGGTTCCCATCCTCCCCTGCTGAAGTGCCCCCAGCACATGGGAAAGGCACTTCAAACTCATAATCCCAGGAAGATACTCAGGTGCACAAAAGACAGTGCCCAGCATCTCCTAAATGAAGCCTTAACTTGATTCCAAGTCCCACACACTGAATTGCCCAGAGCCCGCCAGGAACAGTGTCTCAGATGTATCTGTGATACGTTACACACTCCCAACAACCCAGAGCTTCCACAAGCAGGAAAAAGAGCAGCAAGAACTGCAGGGAAATACCCTGATCCTTCAGCAAATGTGGAACAGCTGGCACTCAGGAAAGCCTTCTCCTTACACAGCAGAACACAGCACCTCCACATTGGTGACATCGCAGGCCAGTTACTCTCAGTCCCTTTTCTCTGCAGAAGGAAGAGGTTTATGTGTCAGGAGAGACGCATCTTTGCTGGGGATCTGTCCTTCCACCCACAGCTTCTCTTCATGGCTCCATGAGGAGATCCCTGGGCAGGCTGAGTGCTGATCCTGGCTGATGACAGAGTCCCTGCCAAAGGTAACAGCCACCTGAGGTGAAGAGACACAGCTTGGAAGGAGAGCCCTGGGCACACCTGGCTGCACACCCACATTCACACCTTCAAGCCACCCCCACCGGGCTGCACACCCTCAAGCCATCCCCACCAGAAGGCAGCCGTCATGCCCTGTCCCTCTCACACTGCAGGAGGGAAGCCCTGCTCTGCAGCCCGTCTTCCTCTTCTACATTACAGACAGATCCCAGAGGCTGTACACATTCAGGAGATCCTGCAAGAAACCACCAACACATCGCCCTGCACCCAGAGACTTACTGTGTCAGAGGCTGGGAAGAGTTCTCCTCCAGTGAGCTCTCACCC